TAGATTCTCCAACATGTTCTCTGTGGTGCTCATCTGAGGTGCCTTGTCCCTGCTCTTCATGTTGGTTTATTACGTTATGTTTGAATCTACTGGCCGGCAGCCAGCTATTAAATCTGGATTAAATAATCTGGATTTAATCTGCAACTGCATCAACTACTGGTAATTAGACAAAAAGAGTAAAATCAAGATTTTTCATGTTAATTTAGTCCAGTACAAAGATTTAAAACAACTAGAGATTAATTTCTCTGTTTTGTGTGCAACAGAGGGTTTTAGAACAACCTGCAGCATCACTAAGTTCATTTTGAATCACTTCCTGTAGCTGTTTCACAATAAAAGCCATGAAAAGGGTTGTAGGAGAAACACGACCTGTGCCTGTTTCAGTGCCAGTTGCAGCCGTCTCACTCTCCGCTAACCGTTTCTGTCCTCTTCACTGCCAGCTGAAAACATCTGGGTCCGAAACGAGAGCGCATAGTTTCAGCTTCTCTTCCAGGTGTTTACATCTGGATTGTACAACATGGAAGATATTCTTTGTAACAGAATCCCAAACCCTCGGGTGAGCAGAAACACTGGAACGTAAAATAGATGAAAGTGACCTAAAGAACCGCAGCAGGCCTGTGACCTGCTGACCCACCAAACAGTTTCTTCAGGTTTGATCTGGAGATGGACTAGGTCAGTCCAGAACCTTCCACTCCTCGCTCCTGATGAGCTCCTTGGTTGGTTTGGCTAAATCGTACTTTACTTGTCAGACAAAAGAATTCTGTGGATTTAAACCATTCTTTGGACTTTCTGTCACTTTGGTAAAGGTCCATCTCATCAATCAATAAAACTAGTCCAGAACGTCTGAGACTCATCTCTGGACGTCTGGAGACCAGGGACGTTGTCCTTGGTCTTACTGTGATGTCTGTGTCAAAGTCCAGAGTTCTGTGGCTCTGTTGGACTGCTTGTGGCTCTGATGCTTGTTTGTCACCCGCAGACTCTGAACGCAGTCCAGAAGGTTTTGAAAACTGAACTTGTGTTTTCTAGTGTATGACATTTTGTGATAATTTTCTTCAAAAACGTAAATAAAGTAGAGAGTGGAGCTCCAAGTGTTGAACTGCAGGAGATCTGTTTCCTAAACTTACATGAAGATCAGCCTCCCTCCCCTCCCTCCTGAGGGTCACCGGGGTCTTTGTTCGGCTCACAGACAGATGTTTGGTCACCTGCTGACTGGAGTCATGAAGATATTTATTGTTCGCATGTTCAGGACCCAGCTGGGCAGCAGAAACCTGTCAGCCACATGCTCCGACCCTTTAGTTCAACAGATTATGTGGATTATGAGGGCGGCTGTGGATGAGTGGTTAGAGCAGTCGTCCTCAAATGCAAGAGTTGGGGGTTCGAATCCACCAGCAGTCACATGCCGAAGTGTCCCTGGGCAAGACATTGAACCCCTCATTGCCTCCATTCTATGTCCCATCGGTGTATGAATGTGATAAATCACTGATTAATCTCTTTAGAATTATTTGTTCAATTAGCTTTGTACAGTTCTAGTAGAGTGCTGTGTGAATGGGTAAATGAGGACACAGGTTGTACAAACCGGATTCCAAAAAAGTTGGGACACAAAACAAATTGTGAATAAAAACTGAATGCAATGATGTGGAGGTGCCAACATCTAATATTTTATTCAGAATAGAACACAAATCACAGATCAAAAGTTTAAACTGAGAGAATGTCTCATTTTAAGGGAAAAATCTGTTGTTTCCAAATTTCATGGCGTCAACAAATCCCAAAAAAGTTGGGACAAGTCCATTTTTACCACTGTGTGGCATCCCCCATTCTTCTTACAACACTCAACAGACGTCTGGGGACAGAGGAGACCAGTTTCTCAAGTTTAGAAATAGGAATGCTCTCCCATTCATGTCTAATACAGGCCTCTAACTGTTCAATCGTCTTGGGCCTTCTTTGTCGCACCTTCCTCTTTATGATGCGCCAAATGTTCTCTATAGGTGAAAGATCTGGACTGCAGGCTGGCCATTTCAGTACCCGGATCCTTCTCCTACGTAGCCATGATGTTGTGATTGCTGCAGAATGTGGTCTGGCATTATCGTGTTGAAAAATGCAGGGTCTTCCCTGAAAGAGATGATGTCTAGATGGGAGCATATGTTGTTCTAGAACCTGAACATAGTTCTCTGCATTAATGGTGCCTTTCCAGACATGCAAGCTGCCTATGCCACAAGCGTTCATGCAACCCCATACCATCAGTGATGCAGGCTTCTGAATGGAGCGTTGATAACAACTTGGGCTATCCTTGTCCTCTCTGGTCCGGATGACATGGCGTCCCAGTGTTCCATAAAGAACTTCAAATCGTGACTCATCTGACCACAGAACAGTCTTCCATTTTGCCACACTCCATTTTAAATGACCCCTGGCCCAGTGCAAACGTCTGAGCTTGTGGAGCTTGCTTAGAAATGGCTTCCTCTTTGCACTGTAGAGTTTCGGATGGCACGGTGGATTGTGTTCACTGACAATGCTTTCTGGAAGTATTCCTGAGCCCATTCTGTTATTTCCTTGACAGTGGCATTCCTGTTTGAGGTGCAGTGACGTTTAAGGGCCCGGAGATCACGAGCATCCAGTAGAGTTTTACGGCCTTGACCCTTACGCACAGCGATTGTTCCAGATTCTCTGAATCTTTTGATGATTTTCTGCACGGTTGATGATAATAACTTAAAAGTCTTTGCTATTTTACGCTGGGTAACTCCATTCTGGTATTGCTGCACTATCTTTCTGCACAACAATGGTGGAATTGGTGATCCTCTTACCATCTTGGCTTCTGAGAGACACTGACACTCTGAGAAGCGCTTTTTATACCCAATCATGTTGTCAATTGACCTAATTAGTGTTGATTGGTCTTCCAGCTGTTCATTATATGCTCAATTTCCTTTTTCCAGCCACTTATTGCTACTTGTCCCAACATTTTTGGGATTTGTTGACACTGTGAAATTTTGAATCAACATATTTTTCCTTTAAAATGTTACATTTACTCAGATTAAACTTTTGATCTGTCATCTATGTCATATTACGAATAAAATATTGAGATTTGCCATCTCCACATCATTGCATTCAGTTTTTATTCACAATTTGTTTAGTGTCCCAACTTTTTTGGAATCCAGTTTGTAGTGTAAAGCACTTTGAGTATCTTGATCAGATAGAAAGGCGCTATATAAGTAGAGTCCATTTACCGTTATTTGGCGTTCTTTTACAAATGGTGCCAGCTGTGAATCTGATCTAGATGTAAACGCCTGGAAGTAAAAGCTGATGGACTGGTCTCCTGTCCCATGTTCGTCCTTTGAAGTCCAACCCAAACAAACACAAATGGTCTCAGTTCCTTTAGAGGAGACGGTCTTTATTAAAACATGTTGGACCAGTCCAAACCCAGAAGTCAGTTCTCTTCCATCAGGTTGGATGTAAGCACAGGCGTCACAACAATTATATGTGCAGGGGACATGTCCCCCTCACATTTTAAAAATATTAATTTGGACCTCCCCACATTTACCATGAAATATTAGTTCACCCAGTGCTGTTTCTATTTCTTCTTAAATTAATCCATTCCACCTGATTAACAGGAGAATACTCAAACCATATAAAGTCCACTCCAGGTTTTCCTGATTGCCTACAACAACTCCACACCGCATGCAATGTTTCCCAGAGGTCACTTAGCTTGGCAGGGTGCTCATCTCTTCAGGGCTTTTTTGTTGACCGGGTGGAGAGGAGGGGGTGACACCTCTGTGTTACGCGCTAGCTTAGCGCTATGTTAGTGGCGGCAGTTGTCGAACTGCGGTAACTGTGGCTTTACTGCAGTTCGACAACTGCAATAAAGCCCTTCTCGGTTCAGAAACCTTACTGTTGCTCAAATCCAGAGTACTCGATTACAACAACCTTCACAGCTGGGCTATATTTGTGCCAAATAACATACAAAAAGCAACATTTCATCTTACTTTAATTACACACATTTAAAGCTTGTTTCTCACCAAGTTTGCAGAAATTCAGCTGTGGGTTTTAAAGACATTTCAACTTTAATGCACTTTAACACACAGCGTTAGGTTGGCACTACTTGTATTTATAGAGAAGTTTAATTTATAAAACGACTTTACCACTAGACTTTTTTAACTTGTATTCAGCACTACTCATCTAAAGGATATTTCTCTGTTTAACAATGGACAATTATTTTCGGAGGACCTGACTCAACCTTGTTAGATCTAGTGGTGATGTTGTTTTCATTATTTAATTTGCTTATATAAACACATGTAGTGCAGTTGTGCATTACAGTTGAAATGTCTTTAAAACCCTAAAACTTATTGTCCTCAAACTTGTTGAGAAACTTGCTTTAAATGTGTGGAATCAAAATAAGAAAAACTACATGAAATGTTGCTTTCTTTATATGTTTTTCACCTTTAAACAGGGGCCATATGCAACAGTGCAAATACAGCCCAGCTGTAAAGGTTGTTGTCATTGAGCACTCTGGATTTGAGCGAGAGTACGGTTCCCAAAACTGGGAAAGGATTTACTGCAGTGCTGTCGACTGGGGTGGGGGTGTTAGGATGCGTGAGAGAAGCGGAGCATGCTCTATTCGCACAAGGAGAGCTGTTGGTCAGGCTACTTCTTCTTGAGCTCTAAAATAGTTATCGAATCAATTGTTTACTTATATAGGTAAACGAAGATGTTTAACAACCTGTTAAAATATACCAGAATGCAGGAAATAGCATCCATTCAAAACTTTCTGGGGGAGGACACCCAGACCCCACCAGTGCCCCCCCCCCCCCCCCACACACACACACACACACACATTACAAATGCTCTGACACCAATGGATGTAAGAAAGCAAATTCTTGGTGTTTTACATCTTTAGACATGAAACTCCCTGAGCAAGAGGAGAGTGGTTCTTGTTTGGGTTGGAAACATCTCAGAACTTGTCAAGTGTCCACAGAACTGTGTGACCTGGCTGACTGTGTGTCGTCTCTCTGCAGACTCTCTACAGCGCCATCAAGACCGAGAAGCTGCAATGGACCATGTAAGTGCCAACATGCATGTAAACATGTGAAGTGTGTCCTCGTCGCGCTGATTCCCTTATTTCAAGCTCTGTTGCCGTGGCAACCGCTTCCTGCTTCTCTCCTTGCTGTAATTATAGGTCAGCATCCCACCGCCCATGACTGTGTGTGAGACTCCTGTCTTCCCTTTACTTTGAACCCTTTTGTTTGGTTTCCTGTTTGGATGTTAATATTCTAATAAAACAATGTCTGACTTTTTGTCCACAACGACTTCAGGAGCTGCAGCTTTTAGGAGAAAATACAGAAATGTTCCCAAACAGGCATCCGCTTCAACGTTTTGTCTTAAAAAACTCAAAAAATCTGAGTTTGGTCCAAAAGTAGCAGCTTTACTTTTCCTTTCTGATGAGTCAAGACTGGGGCACAGAAGCTGTTTTGACCTTGTCTGAGCCTTCACACTGACAACCTGACCTGGAAGATCTCATCAAGTCCTCCTCCTCACCTGTCTAATATACCAAAGCACATGTGCCCTGCACCTCCAGAGCCAGGAGGTCCAGGGCCAGGAGGGACTAAGGCTTATCTGAAGTCTTCTGGTGGGTCTGCATTGTGGCCCAGTCCTCCTTTACCGTCTCATACCTGGACTCAGGGAGTGGTGCCATCAACCTCGGACCTACCAGACCTTCCACCTGGCAGAAACTCCAGGTCCAGTCAACATGAAGAACCAGATTCTTTGTTCAGCCACTGCTTAAGAAGACTTTCCTCTTAAACGACTTTTCTCTTCGCACTAAAACAGGATTTAATGTTCCCGGCGAGCTTCTTGTTGCTAAACCGGTTCTGTTTTCTAAACTGCTCTCCTTGGACCACTGCTACAGGAGTTGGACAAGGTTCTGTTTTATTCCAGCCTTTAGTAGCTTCTGCTGGACGTAAACATGTCCTTTGGGTCAGTTCATCAAGGATTTCAGGAAGGACTTGATGGGCTTGCTGGCAGGACTTTAGTCAAAATACGACGTTGGTGATTTTAAGAAACGCCTGTTGTGAGTCGGACCATGTTCTGACCCGCTGACCAAAGACTTTCTGCTTCTTAGTGACTCTTCATCTCACACAGTTTGTGACTGGACCCACTCATGTCGGGTCACGCACGCCATCTGTTGAAGTCGAAGTCTGAAGGAAAACATCGGAACGTTCATGTATCTAACTCCATAACTGCTGTGCTCCCCCCCCCCCCCACACACACACTTGTAATGACTCTGTCCTCCAGAAGACACACTTCAAACTTTCACCGATCTTTATTTCTTAATTCTGCCTAAACGGAGCGGACCGATGGTCACCTCAGCCCCGGTTTAACAAAACAGCTTGTCTGTCTGTCTGCTTGTCTGTCTGCTTGTCTGTGTGTCTGCTTGTCTGTCTCCCGACGGCCTCGGAGACGGGCCGACTATCAAATTTCTCCTGGGTCATGAGTAACCAAGGATAAAACAACAAAGTCCATGCTCAATAATCCAGGTATACAATCCAACATTTTTCAGTCAGGTCATCTGGACAGTTTCTTTTTTTTTTGTGCTGAAACGTTTCGCCTTCGATCCAGAAGACTTCATCAGTCAAGGAAACACACAACAAAACTAATTCTTCCTCCAACAACTTACTCCAAAGTGGAACAAACCAGTTCTGCTTGTGATAAGATGGTCTCTTTGACAAAACCTCAAGGACAAAAGTTTCATCTATCGCGCTCTGTCTGTCTGCCTGCCTGTCTGCCTGTTTGTCTGTCTGTCTGTCTGCTTGTCTGTCTGTCTGTGTGCTTGTCTGTCTGCGTGCTTGTCTGTCTGTCTGCCTGCCTGCCTGTCTGCTTGTCTATCTGTCTGTCTGCTTGTCTGTCTGCTTGTCTATCTGTCTGTCTGTCTGTCTGCTTGTCTGTCTGTCTGCCTGTCTGTGATGTTTAAGTTTCTGACATTTGATTTGAACAATGACAGAGTTATTAATATTATATAATATATAATTATAGTAAAATACTATATATATTATGAATATAATATCTGTAATATTAATATATCTATAATATATAATTATAGTATAATACAATAATTTTAGTTAGTGTCTTAGTTCAGTTTGATTGTTGAGCATCTTCTGATATTTTATTTTATTAAAGTTTTTCTGTTTTTTTCTCAGCAGATAATCCAAACAGCTGACGTGTTATTGATCGATCAGAACCTGAATATAGTATTTATTAACGCGTCAGAGCAGCAGAATAAATCTGTCGCCTTCATCTTGTTGAATTCTCATGGACTCAAAAAGTGTAACTCTTCGTGTTCTCACATGTTTCATGGCTGATTATTAAGAGAACAGAAACACGTGATGAATAAAATGAGTCGAGCTGATCGTCTGACTCACATTTTACACGTCGGTCAACAGATGTCAGCGTCCACTCACAGAATGACATCATACTTGAACTAATTAATTTGATCTTCTGATGGAAACAAGTTAAGAATCTCTACTTTTTTAAAGTGATGAAGAGGAGTTGAGGAAGTCCATGTCGGAGCTGGCAGAGGTCCGAACAGACTCCGCCTCCCACACCATGAAGCGTCAGGGGGGCATGGCCCGGCCGGCTGACAGCGAGCTTTATAAAAGTGGCTTCCTGGTCCGTAAAATCCACGCCGACCCCGACGGGAAGAGAAGTAAGCTTCTTCGTAACAAACTTGTAAAAAGTCCAAAGTTAATTTCTTTACAACTCGTTTTCATTTGTTAGCTGTAAAATTTAAAACACTCGTCATGTGATGTTATCTGTTACACATCGTTTTAGCGTGTGATTTCCCATGATGCCTTGCTTGTTGCAGCGTCGCGAGGTAAAAGAGGCTGGAAGACGTTCTACGCCATGCTGAAGGGTCTGGTGCTCTACCTGCAGAAGGTAAAGCTGCTCAGCGTCCTCTCCCTAACATTCATCACACAGGACCAGTCAGATGTGACCTGATGGACGTGGACTGGGTTCTTCTGGTTTCATTACACGGCTGCTGTGTGTCTGTTCACCAGGATGAGTACCGCTCAGAGCGAGAGCTGTCGGAGGAGGACTTGAAGAACGCCGTGTCCATCCATCACTCCCTGGCCATGAGAGCAGCTGACTACAGCAAACGGCCCGACGTGTTCTACCTGCGAACGGCCGACTGGAGAGTCTTCCTGTTTCAGGCGCAGTAAGACGCTCTGCTTTTGTCTTCTGTCCTTTGCTGCATCCTAAAAAGCTCCTGAATCAAAGTGGAGGATTTTTTTACAGCAGCGCACCATCTTCAACAACAAGATGTGATTGATCAGACTCATGTTTTGTTGCTAAAACTCCATGATGAACAGCTGGAGTGTGATTAAGACCAATTTAATTTAGGACTTTGTTATCATCAATGTTTTAGTTTGGTGTGGAGTGGTGGTGTAGAGGTTAGAGAAGGTGGGCCTGTGATCGGAAGGGCACTGGTTCAACTCCCGGGACCGATAACATCAAAAAGTGTGGGAAAGGTGAAACACCCACACCTGCCTCCACCCTCATTTGACCCACTCTGGACCCTTGAGCAAGGCCCTTAACCCCCACTATCTGCTCCCCCGGGTGCCCTGGATGGCAGCTCTCTGCTCCACACAGAGGGCTGTGGTAGCTCGGTGGTCTGTGGTTGAGTCAGGAAGGACATCTGGCATCAAAACAATTGCCAAGTCTTCATGCAAGTTATCTGATAAAAGTTTGTAGGCTCAATCATCCAAGTAGATAACAACAAAAAAGGTTAAATCGTTTCATCTGGACCAATTTCTTTAAGTGAGAAACGTTTTGTCTTCCATCCTGAAGACTTCATCAGTCTGTGGCCTGCCAACCAGATCTGTCCTGTAGGCAGCCTTCATTGCTGTGTTTCAAGCCAAGCTCCTGTTGAAATCTCAGAAGTAAACTTTTAATACATGCAAACAGAGCACATCCATCCAAAACAATCAGCCATCATGTACAACAATCAAATGTTTTAGATCAACTAACAAAGTAAAGTCAGGTCCTCTGGACAGATTCTTCTTGTTGAGATGTTTCAACTTTTATCCAAAAGACTTCTTCAGTCTGAGGAGCTGCAACAAACTCAGTCTTATAAATAGCACCTTCTCATAGTAGATCAACCAGTTTGTTGTTGACATCCAGAACTAGCTGTTCCCATGAAAAAGGAGGACCATCAGCCTGATGGCTGTTTACTATTCACAGAGGGCTGAGTGATACTGGCAATAACAGCATTGTAAGAGGGGGACAGTTGAACATGGAGTCCTCCACCCCTGTTTAATGATGGACGATTTCTTTTCACAAAGATGGCCTCCTTTACTCCTCTCTCAAATCATCGTTCCTCTCTGTCCAGGATGTGAACATCTTCATCCCCGAAAGAGTGACCGCTGGCCTGGAGATGAGTGTAGACCACAGAGTCCTGGCCTGATGATGTTGATCTTCTGTGCTGGTCCATCCTTTTGGCCAGTGGCTGTTTAGTTTCCCCGTCACTTTTTTTTAGATTTTTCTACCTGGATTATTGAGCATGCATCAGGATATTCGTGCGAGTTAGTTCGCTGTGGCGACCCCTGAAGAAGGGAGCAGCCAAAAGAAGAAGAAGATCAAATGATGGTATCAATAATTTATGAAAAGTTACAAGAAAACAAGAACTGTCAAGTTTGTGGTGGGAATGGTTTGAACATCTTTTCTGTCAACAAAATACAAAAAAGCAAATTGCCACCGACTCGCAGATCAAACGATGTGTCAGAGTTTGTAGCATAGAGCTCGACGTGATAATCGAGTTTACGAACATAAACATGGAAACATTTTGATGCTTTTACTTTTCAAAGTTTGAACAGCCTCAGTTTTTTTGCTTTACGCCCGTCGCATCACGGTATGGGCTATCCGTAAACTTTCTCTGGTCCCGCCCACAACTTCTGACTCGCTTAAGATCATTTCACTTCACACACACATGCACCAGCATTTTCATGAGCCCAGCTCCAAGGTCAAGGTAAAAAAAAAAGGCCAAAGTTTATAAAAGGTTATTGCAACAGATTTCTGTGTAATAGGAGAACATCCAACAGGTGGATGCTGTGCCGTGTGCTACCCTTGTTTTGTTTTTCCTGCAGAAATCCAGAGCAGATGCAGTCCTGGATCACACGCATCAACATGGTGGCGGCCATGTTTTCTGCTCCTCCGTTCCCAGCGGCAGTTGGCTCACAGAAACGTTTTAGCCGTCCTCTGCTGCCGGGCTCCAACACCAAACTGTCCCAGGTACAGACAGGAAGTTGTTTCTTGTTTCTGTCAGAGTCAATACTGAAATTAAACTTTCTTGGTTCTGCCTCTGTCTCCTCAGGAGGAGCAGCTCAAATCTCACGAGAACCGGTTTAGGGCGGTTTCCTCAGAGCTGGTTGAATTTGCAGCATCCACACCAGACCGAAAGGTGAAAGGTCGCGAGCTGGAGGAGCTGAAGCTCCGGAAGGAGTACCTGGAGTTTGAGGTGAGAGAGATCGCAGAGACGGCATGTTAAAGCTGCTTTCTACCAAAGAATCTAAAACCAGCCGATTATATTTACTTTCTTTTACTAACTGATTTTACTGCAAATGAAGTAGCTGAACATTTGATTCACTGAGTGACTGATGAAGTAATCAGTAATATAAAATTATTCTAATAATTGTGATTCGGGTGGCATGGTGGATCAGTGGGTAGAGCTGTTTCCTCTCAGCAAGAAGGTCACCAGTTCAAATCCCGGCCCGGGGCCTTTCTGGGTGGAGTTTGCATGTTCTCTCCATGCATGTGTGGGTTTTCTCCAGGTACTCCAGTTTCCTCCCACAAACCAAAAACATGCATGTTAGACTGACTGGTAACTCTAAATTGTCCCTAGGTGAGAAAGTGAATGGTTGTTTGTCTCATTTTTGTCTCATTTGAGCACGATGGCTCAGTGGTTAGCACTGTTGCCTCACAGCAAGAAGGTCCTGGGTTCCATCCCCGGTTGTACCTGGGGTCTTTCTGTGTGGAATTTGCATGTTCTTCTTGTGCTCGCATGGGTTTTCTCTGGGTACTCTGGTTTTCTCCCACAGACCAAAAATGTGCATGTTAGTCTGACTTCAGGCCCAGGCCTCCCTTGCAAAAGAGATCTGTGATCTCAATGAGATTAGCCTGGCTCGATAAAGGTCAATAAATAAATAATATTGTCTCGTTTGTCTCTATGTGTCCCTGTGATGGACTGGAGACCTGTCCAGGGCGTCCCCCACCTCTCACACAGTGATGACTGGACATGGACACCAGTGAACTCCATGACCCATAAAGGAAGAAGCGGGTTAAGAGGATGGATGGATGGATGGATGGATGGATGGATGGATGGATGGATGGATGGATGGATGGATGGATGGATGGATGGATGGATGGATGGATGGATGGATA